CATTTGTACAAATATTTTTTTTAAATTTGTAAATAAAAAAAAAAGCAAAGTAATAGAAGTATTATTATTTATATTTTTTAATCATAATTTAAACAAAAAAAATAATAAAAAAATCACTTTAAAAATTAAAAATGTTACTTGAATAAAAAAATGCACTTCTGTTGAGTTATACTTATATACCTGAAATACCTAAAATCTATAAATGCCATTAACAATAGTCAATAATCATTGAGTTATTTTCCTATAAAAGTATTTATAGAAAATCGTCGTATTTCGATAGCAGCTGTTTCTATTTTAGATTTGTATAATATTCTATTTTAGATAAAGCTAGCTGTAGTTGTAATTTATATATATTAATATTATATCATATTATAACCAATAGAGGAAAAACATAGTTTTTAATGTCAAATGGAAATTTGAATAATACGATTCAAGAATATCTAGTAAGGTCTCTGAATATGAATGTATTTATTTTTTTATTTACAAATTTTCATATTGAATATCCATAAATGATAAAATATGCTTTAAAAAATTGTAAAATTAAGAAATATGCTCTAAAATCTAAAAATCACTAAATATGCAAAAATATGCACAAAAAACTTTTGATATGTTTTTCGTAGTGTCTTGAAATTAATTTCTAGCTTACTTAGCAATAAATCTAATGGTTCAAAAAAACCATGCAAATGCAACAACTTCCGAGCCCTAATTATTATACTAAACCTTACAGGACCATAGTTAATAACCTAGCCAACCAAAATTGATTATTTAATTGTCAAGATGTTCAGACAAAAAGCTTTACCAGAATGTCCAGAATCCATAAAAAAAATACAGTGGTTAGGAGGTACCATTTGAAAAAATAAAGATTTTATTATTGGTAAAAATGTGTTTAAATTTTGAAAATGTTATAAAAAAAATGCCTGTTAAAAATAAAGAAACACGTCTTTTTTTTGTTTTAACGAAATTCCATATCATCGATCCATAATTTTTAAAAAAACCCGCGTACTATGATGACATAATAAGATACACTCTGTATATTTTTTGTATAGTAAAAAATTATACAATAATATAAAGTCACTAGCCGACCCGTCACAGCTTCGCCCATGATTGGTTGTTTATTTTGCCTTCGGACGATGATATGTTTAATTTTTTATTAAAATGTTATCGTTTAATGAAAACTTATTCAAATGTTTCTAGGGGTATTAATGGTAAATATATTTTTATATCAGAACCCGTTCATTTCATTACCCGTAAAAAATCGCAAATCTTAAAAATGTATGATTGTTCAACTACTTTTGGGTGTAATTTGCTGCAGCCTGCAGTAAGTGCAACTTAGCCACCCTGGTAGGCAATCCGACTACTTGGGCAACTTTTTCACCAATCACCTTGGTAAGCAATGTTCAATAATTCTATTTGATGCAAGCTTGTATCTGATCTTCCTGATCTTCGGAACTATTAATAATTAAAAATAAAATTTTCAATGTGAACCTCGATGTCCCTGTTTGAGCACCTCTTTAAAATGCGAATTTTACCAAATCCTTTCTTATTGCACGGTGAAAGATTAGAAGAACCACTATTCAAAATTTCAAGTTCGTACATTGAGTAGTTTTTGAGATACGGCGATCAGTGAGTCAGTGGTATTTGGATTTTAGGTATATAATATATAGATTCCCTTCTCCTTCCCCTCCAATAAAAAAAAATAAAAATTAGGCTAAACGGCGACACTCAGGAAGGTATATGGAACAACTCTGTGAATAAAAATTGGTAAAATATTAAATAGTGTAGTCACAAAATTGGAACATAAAAAATAATAACTCAAATCAACAAACATGCCCGATATAAATAAATAAATATATGAAATATAATAAAATCTTATAATTAAATAATTTAAAAAAAAAAACAACTTATTTATTAGCTGGCTTCATGGTAACTATGCTGGTAACTATGCTGGCCACAAAAGAACACTACTATACCATAGCTGTATATTTATTGTAGTAAACAAATAGTTTTTTGAAACCCGTCATCGTACGTTTATCTCTGTTTATCTCTGTTCATATTTTTCTATTATTTTTCTGTTTTTCTGCCGTTTATTACGTCGTAAAATACAAATATGGACGCCACAGTTCCAAAACAATTTCAACAAATGTATGCCAATAACGAGGGTCGATCTATAGTCGACGTTCTGGATTTGGCAGTGAACCTAAAGGTCACAGCTGCGGTCAAGTCACCGCTACTTCACCGCGGAAACGCTGCAGAGGAGAGCACCCGGTCGTCGCCGGAATTGAGTATTGACTCACCGGCATATCTGGAGAAAAATATGTTTATGATTGGAGGACCATCGTCGGAGCCCGCTGCACCTTTTCACTTGAAGTCGAATACGGACGCACTCGAAGAAACTGCAGTAGCTGACGTTTATGATTTGCCAGTGGTGAACCTTAAGGTCACGGTCGAGTCACCGCTACTTCACCGCGGAAACGCTGCAGAGGAGAGTACCCGGTCGTTGCCGGAACTCACAATGAAATCATCCGTATGCCTGGAGGACGTGCCTATGATTGGAGGACCATCGTCGAAGCCTGCTGGGCCTTTTAGCGTGGCACCGAATACGGACACACTCGGGGAAACCTCGTGGATTGACGCGGCTGTCCTACCGATTCCTACATATTCCGAAGTCCCGGAATACCCGGCAAGATCACGGTCTGTTGGTCCGCGGAGGAGGTCCGCCTGGAAGAGGACCAAACGGTTCGTTTGGAGGTCGTTGGTGAACGTGGCACGCAGGGTTTGCTTCTGCCAACCCTTTGTAGACGTAGAGTAATGTCCACCAAGTTTTCGACTTCTCCCCTACCACCACCGTCTGCCCCCGCCCTTTAAGTTTGTAATATTATTATGAGCTCGTTCGCCCGTCCGTCCGGTATTTTTCGCTCCCGCGTTTGCGCCCGTTGGTGTACGCCGTTTTCCGAGCGAAAAATCCGAACTAAATTATTTTGTTTTTATAAATCAGCCCTGTACTTTGTAGTGTCAAAACTTCATATTTCTGTCCCGGCTGCAATCAGTATTACTTTATTAGTGAAATCTTCTTTGTCAATATGCATTCGCGCGTATTCAGAGTCCACTTGTCCCTTAATTAACTTGGTCAATTTTGTAATAGATGTATTATACTATTACGGACCCTATAATACGGTAAATGTGTAGTTATTATCCTATGAATCGACCAATTGTTTATGTTTATTCCGGACAACGGGCCCTTATGTTTATAATAATTATCAGTTATCACTGTATTTTGTAAATTTGTATTACCACTGTATTTTGTAAATTTGTATTACCCTGTATTTTGTAAATTTGTATTATCATTGTATTTTGTAAATTTGTATTATCATATGAGACTGCTGTCTAAAAATGATGTATCATTATAATGAAACTATTGAAACTGCTGTCTAAAAACTATGTATCTACATTCTACTTATTATATGAGGCTGTTGTCTAAATTTTATCTATTATTATTTACAGTGTTTGAAAATTTCATGAAATTTAAAAAAATGTAATATTTCGTGAAATATTTCATGAATTATTTCAAAATGTGTGAAATATTTCAGTGGTTTAATAAATTTTGTTTTATTTTAAATAAGTTTTATATTTACATATAGCCGACCCGTCACAGCTTCGCCCGTGATTGGTTGTTTATTTTGCCTCTGAACGATGATATGTATAATTTTGTATTCAAATTTTATAGCTTAATGTGATCGGCAAGTCAATATCAAAAAACTTTTAATGAAAGCGTATTGAAATGTTTCTAGCGGTATTAATGATAAATATATTTTTTTACAAAAAAAACCGATCTCGTGCATATCGTTGCCGTTAAATGGACCAACTCTATATATATGACTCAAACTTTGTTCAAATGTTCAATTTGTTATTTAATATTCGATGTATGGTGTTGAAAACTTATCTTAACTTTTCCCAGAATAAAAATTGTGATTCTCAGCTGTATATTATCAGGTAGACAATCTACCTGCGGTTGAGCGCTGATCCCGTGCTGTTTGTACGTAAGTGTATGATTTAGCTCTAGAGTATCAAAGTTACTTCATTCCACCTACGGTGAATTGATATAATTAATCAATACAAAATCCTAACCTAACCTAACCGTACTGAAATCCGATGAATAAAAAAAAACAAATATTTTAACCCTTGTTAAATTAATCTATCTTCTTCCCAGAGGTCTAATCTACACACAAACATTATATAACATTATATAGTATATACCTACGAAAAATAATAATACAAATCAACAAACATGCCTGATTAACCAATAGCAACCGATATATAATACGCTGTGTCTAGAGCACCGGTCGGCCGGTTCGATATTAGAACACCGGTCGGCCGGTTCGATATTAGAACACCGGTCGGCCGGTTCGATATTAGAACACCGGTCGGCCGGTTCGATAATAGAGCACCGGGCGCCCGGTAACACTGTAGAGTACCGGGTCACACTGTAATTATAAAAATATGATAATAATATTATAATCTTTTATTATATACTTGTCTACGATAATAATATAGTGAGCACGGACTAAGATATACAGGACTGGACACGAGATGAATATTGTGGTTACGAAATGTTTTACAACAGGCGGAGTTCGGGGGGATATTTTCCTTTTAGCATTACTAGCGCCGTCTTAGTGGATACTTATGGAACTAGAAATTTGTATGATTTGTTCTAGTTCCATAAGTATCCACTAGGACGGCGCTAGTAATGCTAAAAGGAAAATATCCCCCCGAACACTACCTGTTGTAAAACATTTCGTAGTCAACCCCCCCACACCCTCCAACCTTGTCGTGTCCAGTCCTGTATATCTTAGTCCGTGATAGTGAGTTATTAGTTAATACTTAATAGTTAATAGTTACTTAATAATTAATAGTTATTAGTTATTCTTTTTATAATAGTATAATAAATCACAGAAATACAGAATTTATACGAATACCAATAGTCATTAGTTAAAAACAAAATCTTAAGCTTTATCCTCTTTTTCTTTGTTGTATCTTTCATTTTTCTTGAGAAACTGCGCTTTAGGCTTCAATATTTTATTAGGACGATTTCCGCGACACTTGGGGCAAAACCATTTACCTTTTGGTTTTGTTGATAATAATACACAAGAAAAATGAAACCATTCTACTGGACATAAATCATTATCGCAACATATCATCTCTCCGTATGAAATCTGATTACAAAGACAATAGGTTTGTTCATCTGAATCGACAGCTATATCCCTATCTCCATTTTTAGTTTTTGTTTCTGTTTTTTTAGCCAATGCTCTTCCAGTTTTAAGCCGTTTAGGAAGGCCGATTGTTGTCATAATTGCGCCTTTTGGCCGACCACAAGTTCTGACTTTACCAGGTAGTATTATTGATTCAATACCTAAACATTTAAAACATTTTCTATTATTTAAATCCACAACGTCATTATCTAGTATTATTGGTTCTACTATTATAGAATAGTTACCCTGACTGTTACAATTTTCTGAATCTACAGTTTCAACAGCATCCATAATATCATTCTCTATAGTTATAGTTTTGTCGTCAACAATCCTCCATGCACACAAAAATATTTAATATAATAATACTTAATTTTGGTTGATGCTGTTACCATTTTCCCATTTGGGAATTTAGCATTGATTGACGCCAGGGTCTTGCAGTCTTTAATAAAATAGTCGACATAATTTTTGTCTTTGTAGTGACTTAAAACACTTTCAAATTCATCAAATGAAGAAAAAACATCAAAAAGTTTCATATTTGAAAAAAACTTTAAACTTTGAAAAAAACAAAACTGAAAACTATATTTTATACTGAGCTGTACTGTACTACACTCGCCATGAGGTTGAAGGGAAAGATACCTATAAAGGTTAGTAAGGCCAAATAAACGATTAAGGTTTTCCTAATAAAATAACTATTATTACATATTTAAATTAGACGCCAATATTCAAATGAAGCGGGTAATTTACAGTGTGACCCGGTACTCTACAGTGTTACCAGGCACCCGGTGCTCTATTATCCATCCGGGCGCCCGGTGCTCTAATATCGAACCGGCCGACCGGTGTTCTAATATCGAACCGGCCGACCGGTGCTCTAGACACAGCGTATATAATACACTATTATTATTTTAATCTGCAACATTTAACTACATTTTTTATTATTTAGTTTATTTTTTTCTGGACAGATGGCGCCGCTGTTGTATTTTTGACATCCCTACTTCCTACTTCTCTGGTGAATTTCCCTAAAATATTCTTTCATAAGAACCTTGTTCTGACAATTACGAATACAACAAAAAGGAATCAGCAAATCGTTTCTGTAGTTTTCCTGGTTAGCGTGGTCGCAGAAAACCCCTTACAATTTTATGTAGTAGTATAGATAACAAAGCAACCAATATATTATAATACACTATTATTATTTTAATCTACAACAATAAATTTTATTTTTCATTTTTTATTAATTAGTTTATTTTTTTATGGACAGATTGCGCCACTGTTGTATTTTTGACATCCATATTTCCTACTTTTCTGATGGATTTTTCTAAACAAAAGTGGTACTATGACCTCCAGCAGACTGTCAAGTATAACAGTAAAAAAATTCAGCCAAATCGGTTCAGTAGTTTTCTCGGTTAGCGCGGTCCAAGAAAACCCTTACCATTTTAAATAATAGTATAGATTAATATGTAATGATACAATTATTTTGAAGTTAAAGTTGAAAGGAGGCCCACTAAGTGTATGGTGTTCCGAGGCCCAATTGATCCTTAATCCGGGCTTGGTCATGTCTCTGTACACACCACACACCTTAGTAATGTAAAATGTTAAATCAGTTAATTAATAATAAAATGAGACTTGTAATTAATTGTTTTCATTAGTACTCGGTACATCACAATAAGCAAAATAAAATACAAAATATAAGGAATTAAAGGCTAAAATATATTCCATTGTTCTTAATAATAATATTACTATTACAATTTAAAGAAATAACTAATAATTAATCAAGCAATAAAGATACAGATAATGTGTCTTGTTGCTTAGCTTTTAGCAGGGCTTGAAACCGATTGAAATAATTTCGGTTTCGGTTTCGGTTTTCAATATCGGTTTCTAAATTTTTCGGTTTTGGTTTTAATTTTTCAATAGGTACCGGTATTAAAAATGTAATTTTGATTTTGTATACCGGTTTTTACATTTTTAAAAACGGATTTCCAAGCAGACTTGAAATTATAATTGAATCGTTTTATTATACTTAATAGTTAATTACTTGATAAGATTTTTGAATGTTTGATACAAATAAGAGAAATGTTTTAATAGGAGTGATTTTGTAATTGTATTCTAAAAATTACAAGCTATAAGGAACCTAGAAGTTAGAACAAAATTAGAACATTTTAAACTTTAAAGATAATATATGTAGTACATTCATCACTAGACTATCTTTCTTTTGATGCAAACCTCATCCTTGTTCGGATTTTTCTTTTGTAGCATTTTATTAATAACAATGAAATAATACTTAATTGTCTTATAAACAAAGTCAAACAAGTGCTCTAAACAGTGTAGGGGAGACTAGGGAAAAATCAAAAATACGGTTATCACATGCTTTTCTTTAAATGTTTCATTTCTGTTGTCATAAAATCTTGCGAGTTCAATTTAAGTCACTTCTACATGACCTAGGAGGCTCACATTTTGGTTCTAGGTCACTTTGTACGGTCGAGCATTAAAAGTGCGAAACGCGGACACTTTGTACGGTCGGGTAAAAAGGTACATTGCAGAACGCGGACACTTTGTACGGTCGGGTAAAAATTTACATTGCAGAACGCGGACACTTTGTACTATTATATACATAAAGTATATATATTATAAATATAAGTTATATACCTAAGTAGTAAGTATATATAATATTATAAATTATAATGTAAATTATTAAAATATAAAAATTAAAAATTAAAATAAAATTGTTTCATCGTATATTAATAATGATCAAAATAATCAAACAATCAATAATATTATTATAAATCTTAATTGTATTATAATATAAGAAATCAGTTTAAAGCAAATTAAAAATGTGTACAATTATATTGTCATTGTTATTTTATATGTCATAATGACAAATAAAATATAATATTGAAAAAAAATCAATAAAAACTAAATGCATAGTACCTATAATATGGAAATATCTCAAAATGACAAGTAAAGTATAATATTGACAAAAATTTTAAAAAACTACATAATATTGTATACTGTATAGACGTATAGTATAATAATATGAAAATATGTCAAAATGGTATCAAGCTTAGATAAAAAGTGCACATACATAATTATTTAATATTAAGGGTTTAATAAATCAATATTAGAATAATTATTTACTTTCTAACTTAGGTATATAACTTATATTTATAATATATATACTTTATGTATATAATAGTACAAAGTGTCCGCGTTCTGCAATGTACCTTTTTACCCGACCGTACAAAGTGTCCGCGTTCTGCAATGTACCATTTTACCCGACCGTACAAAGTGTCCGCGTTGTACATTTTGAACAATGGACCGTACAAAGTGACCGTTTACCTCAAATTTTGTATGGAGGTCTAGGGTCGGTGACAATACATGACCCAGTTGTCAAAAAAAAAAAAAAAATAAAAAACATGTTTTTCTTAATACTACTTAATACATGAACGAAAAAGTTGAAAATAAACTTACTTTTAAAACAATTTCTTAATGAAACTTCAAGGTTATCAAGATATTACTAAAAGTGTTTCTAAAAAGTAAAATGTATTTGTTGCAAAATGTTTAAAACTTGTGAATTACAAAAAACGAAATGCATGGGGCTCCTATGAGTCAAGAATATCTCTTACAAAATTGGAAGTATGATCAATAATCTTTAAAATATTTATCATAAAGTTTATCTAATGATTCAGTTGTAGAGTGACTTTACATAGGAGTTATCATAAGTGCCCCATGCTTTTCGTTTTTTGTAATTCACAAGTTTTAAAAATTTTGCAACAAATACATTTTAGAAACACTTTTAGTAATATCTTGATAACCTTGAAGTTTCATTAAGAAATTGTTTTAAAAGTAAGTTCATTTTCAACTTTTTCGTTCATGTATTAAGTAGTATTGAGAAAAGCATATGTTTTTTAAAAAAAATTTTTTATTATTTTTATTTTTAAAAATTAAATAATTAGGTATTTAATATTTTAGATTCTGAGCGGAGCGATGAATGTATTGGTTTTACAATGATGTATGTTAGATTCTGAGTGAAACGATGAATGTATTGATTTTACAATGATGTGTGTTTTTTTATTTTTTTTTATTTTTTTATTTTTTTTTTTTATTTTTTTTTTATTTTTTTTTGTGTCTGTCATCACGTTTTGGGACAGTAAAAGTGCTTCGATTTTCTTCAATAGTACCTTTTCTGATAGGAAAGTGAATCTAGTTGGTACTTTGGGGGGTCAAAAGTAAACATTTTCCAGTAGTTTTCACAAGCGCCGGGAAAAAACAACATAAAAATTAAGGAAAAACGGGAATTTTTACGCAAAATCGATTTTCCAAAAAATCGAATTTGGTTTTTGGTGTAACTTTAAAACAAATGACCGTAGATACATGAAATTTCCACTGGTTGTTTATATTTGCATTTTCTATACACGATAACATTTTCAAAATATTTTGATTTATTTTGAACTGTTTAGGGACATTTTCATTTTTCATTTTTTTTTAGTTTTTTTTTAGAAATATCAATAAAATTTTATTTGTTGGTTGCGAAAGCTTGAAAATTTAATAAAAGGCTCCTAATATATTGTTTCATAGGCAGATGAAAAATATTAAAAATCCTTAGTCACAATTTTTTTTTATAAGCATTTAAAGTTCAAAAATTGACAAAATATGGAAAAATCACGAAAATTAGCAAATTATTTTGAGTTAAGAATTCGTAAAAATTTTTCTTTTTAAATCTAAGATTTGAAAATGAAACACAAGATTCCTTATAAGATTATCTACCTTTATCAATAAAAAAATCTCTACCGGACAGTCAAATTAAATTTTTATGAGCGTTTGAAATTCAAATTTTTACAACATTGGATTTTCACTCGATTACTCATGTAGCGATTTCCTTATTTTGTTGCAATTCAAAAACGAACAACTGTAGATACATGAAAATTTCACTGAATGTTTACATTAGCATTTTCTATACACCATACAACTTTGAAAATATTTTGACTCTTTTTGAGCTGTTTATGGACATTTTCAGTTTTCAATTTTTTTAGTTTTTTTTTCTATAAATATCAATAAAGTTTTATCTGTTGGGCCAAAAAGTGTAAAAATTTAATACAAGGCTCCTGATATATTGTTACAATATCAGTTGAAAAATATTAAAAATACATAGGCACGATTTTTTTTTAAAAGCATTTAAAGTTGGAATTTTGACAAAATTTATCAAAATCTTAAAAATTATCAATCGTTGGAATTAAAAAATTATAAAATGTTCAGTTTTTATAACTAAGAGTTGAAAATTTAAAACAAAGATTCTCTTA